GACGAAACCTGTAAGAAATTGCACAGAACGATATATAGGACATAGTATAAAAGAAAATGTCCTTGAGTCCATACTGATGAAAATATATACTAATATAAATAAACAAATGGGAAGAAAGAGCAGCTTTTCCTTTCAGGAGAATTCCAAGAAGTAAATGTGAAAAGAAACAACAAAATAGAAAATCATCATTAGAAAACCACAGTATTAATTATTAAGATCACTGATCAGTACTAAAATTCATGGGCAGATTTTTGAGGAGAAACAGAATATTTGCATAATCTTAAGGTATATCTCCCAAGATATGCATTAATTATTTTAAAAAATTACTTATTAATAAGGGAAGAAACTGACAGAAACAACTTCTTAACCAAGTGATCAAGACATCATATGCTTTCTGGTATATGATACACTGAGACCAGATCACTTCTGTATACTGTTGACAAAAATACAAAACCTCCATCTAATCATGAGAAAATATAAAACAGACCCAGACTGAAAGACATTTTACAGAGTAACTGACTAGTATTCCTTAAAAGAAGACAAGGAAAAACTGAAAAATTCTCACAGATTGGAGGGAGTAAAGAACATGATAACCAATTGCAAAGTAGGATCTCTGAAAAGGCTTCCTTCCTTCCTTCCTTCCTTCCTTCCTTCCTCCTTTATTTTTTGAGGGGGTTGGGGAGAGGTAGAGAGAGAGAGGGAGAGAAAGAATCTCAAGCAGACTCCACACTGAGCACAGAGCCAAATGGGATCGACCTCCTGACCCTGAGATCACGACCTGAGCCTAAATCAAGAGTCAGACGCTCAACAACTGAGCCACCGAGGTGCCCCTCTCTGAAAAAGCTTTGGAAAAGCTGGTGAAATCCAAATTGGAATTAGTTAATAGTAAAGTGATTAAAATACCATTTCCCAAAACTAAACTTAATATAAATGATGGTGAATCAAAAATTAAAAATGAACTTACTAAATGTTATACAGTTAGGTGTGGTGGATCTTGAATTTTAGTCCACTCTATATAATCACTGGACTCTTGTCTGGTTTTGGTATCAGGGTTTTACTGATCTCATAATGAGCTGGGAAAGAGTCCTCATTTTTCTTTTCTCCAGAAGACTTTACATAAGAAGAGAAAATAAGGAATTTTCTGCTTCATGAATGTTCCTTAAAAATATTTGAGCTGCTAAGGGCACCTGGGTGACTCAGTCAGTTAATCGTCTGGCTTTGCCTCAGGTCATGATCCCAGGGTCCTGGGATCTAGTCCTGCATCGGGCTCCATGCTCAGTGGGGAGTCCGCTTCTCCCTCTGCCCCTCCCACTCTCTTTCTCTCTCTCAAAAATAAATAAAATCTTTAAAAAATATTTGAGCTGCTAGTATTTAAGAGGGTAGATCATTTTAAATCATCTATCATATATTAAATGATATTTAATCATGTATTAAATCATATTTTAAATCTAACTTAATTTCCTTTTTAGTAGCTTTGGTATATTTTTAATTATCTTTAGACATTTACCAGTCTAGCTAACTAGTTAATTTTATTGACATATAAGTGTTCATAATACTCTCTAATCTTTTAAATCACTACATTTTCTGTAGTTGCATTTCTTTAAAATAATTCCTAATACTTTTTGCCCCTTCTCCCCTTTCATGAACCATTTTGTCATGTATATTTATTTTGTGAGTGCTTTAAAAAAACTTACTTTTGGTATTTTTATTCTCTTGTTTGTATATTTGTTTTCAACTTGATTACTTTCTGTTTTTATCTTAATTATTTCCTTCTTTTTCTTTGATGGATATTATGTCTTTCTTTTCTAAGTTCTTATGTTTAATGCTTAACTTATTATTTTCAGCTTGTCTTTTCTTTGTATAAAAACACATAAAGTTGTAAATTGCCTTCTCTAAGTAGAATTATTTTCTCTGCCCCATGTTTTAATTTCTTTTCATGTATTTTTCAATTATTTAGGTCTCTATATTTGTATCTTATTTGAACCATCAGTTACATAGGAATTACTTCTAATTTTCTTTTAACTTTTCAAGAATATGAGTATTTTGGAGTGATCTTTTTCATACTAACCTCTGCCTTAATTGTAGCATGGTCAGATAATTTAGTTGATATTGATTTGTTAAAATTTATTCAAACATGTCTAATAATTTAATTCTTGATCAAATGGTTCATGGGATTCAATGGTTCATGCCCGCTTCAAAAAAAATTTGTATTCTCTAGATGGTTTGTGCAGGTCTCATATATATATATATCAATCAAATCTTTCATATTATTATTATTTATTTTGCTAAATATTCCATATTCTTGGTCTAGTTAAATAATCATTAATTTTAAAAAAAGCATTATTAGGGCTATATTTCACATATACTCTAGATCTGAGAATAGATAATCGTGGTATTGAAAATTTTAACAGAAAGCAACTTTTATAGATGTTATAATGTAAATAATGAAATTAAAAAAAAAAAACTATCCTAATATCACTAATAAGTGCTTTCAGTAGAGCAGTGATATTATTTTTGTATTTTAGAAAAGCTATTTCTGATACAGTATAATAAATCAATTTATCAAGGTACTGCTTCTGTAAAATTTAATTTTTTAAAGAATGTTCTTGCAGTAAATAGGTTGAGTTGGTGATGTTCTGTGATAGAAGTATAATGAAACAGATATTTTCAAAAGGAAGAGTCAGAGGTTGCCAGGCAAAGAGTTGTGTGGAAAATCAAACTAATAAAAGCATACTGGAAAAACCTAAACCAAAAAAACCAAAAAACAACAGTGTTGTAGAGAGTATTAATTAAGAGAAAGGATGACAAGACAGAGAAGCCAATTTATGGAGAAGCAGCTTATGTATGTTTTATTTTAAGTATAATGGGACTTTAAGTTTGAAGTTTGAAGCTCTGGATAATTATCCATAAGAGCATTGTTTTCAAAAGGATACTATGGCTGCCGTGTATAATGAGAGTATCTGAGATTTGATTGGATTTAGTTAAGTATAGTTGCTGGTAGACAAGTTAGAAAATTTCTCATTTGTCCAATACACAAATCAGTATATGGTGGCTACTACATTCAAAGAAACAGAACGAGAAAACAATGGCAGAAAAATACAAAGTCCCTGTTTCGCATTACATCTTCATGGTACATATGAATAAATAAGTAAATAATATAATGAGTAGCTATTGCAAGTAATATGAAGAATGGCTGGGAGTGTTATTTTCAATAAGGTTATTTTCAGTAAGGTTATTGATGAAAGCTTCTGAGGAGGTCACAACTGAGCAGTCATCTGGAGAACGTGAGAGCCATCTGAATATTCAGGGACAGGGATTTCTAGAAGAAACAGCAAAGGTAGAGAGCCAACAGGACAGTAGCCAAGGAATGAGTCGAGAGCTGCTTTTAATAGTGTGTTACCAAAAATAGATGGAGAGGAAAATGTAAAAACAAACAAAAAAAAGAACAGGCTCGTGATTAACTGGGGTGTAGTGGAAGCCGAGTCTTACTGATGTCTCCTAGGCAATGACTTTCCAAACTGAGCAGATAGAGGTGCCTGTGTTAGGTTGTTAGGGCTGCCATAATTGGGTGGCTTAAACAACAGAAATTTGTTTTCTCACAGATTTGGAAGCTAAAAGTCTAAGATTGAGGTTCAAGATCAGCAGGGTTGGTGTCTTCTGAGGCCTCTGCTTGGGTTCTAGATGGCTGTCTTCTCCCTGTGTCTTCACATGGTCTCCGCTCTCTGCCTGTGTCCAGATCTCCTTTTCCTGTAAGGACACCAGCCATATTGGATTAGAGCCCACCCTAATGATCCCGTTTTACCTTAATTACTTCAATTACCTCTTTAAAGACCCTGTCTCCTAATGCAGTCACATTCTGTGGTACTGAATGGGGGTCGGGCATCAATATATGAAATTTGAGGAGCACAGCCCCCAAACGCTTACTGTAACACTGTAACAGTGCCATTTTCTCAGATTTGGTAAATTGCATTGTGATTACAAGAGAATAATGCGGGGAGAATCTTATGTGAGGGGAAATGACGTGTGAGAAACAGAGAGAGAAATTTAGGAAATTGAATTTTGACAAGAACACTTTGAAAAGTCCAGTTTGGTGCAAATCTTTCATAGAAGTGACTAAAGGAAAATACACTGGGAAAGATATACTCAGGCAAGAGCATGACTAGCTAAGAGGTCTGGGCTTTACTGTGTATATTAAGGAGAATTACTTAGGGTTTATGAGCATGAATCAGAAGTGTGCTTCAGGTCGATTAATCTGTCAGTAATACGTAGTTTATGATCAGGGGCTAGAACATAAATCTCATTAGCAGTAGAGATTGTTCCCCCTGAAAGCTCATCTAGGTGCATTAGGAGCTTAGCTAAATTCTTGTTTTGCTGTGGAATAGAGAGGAATTTGTCAGAATTGAGTGTTTTCACAGCGACACTATAAAGGGCCTCTTTGTATTTCTCCTACAGACTATACTTTGTTTCTCCTGTCACAAATAGAAAGAGGATTCCTCCCCAGTACAGCTGATTTCAGGGAATTTCATAATGTTCTGTCCTTTAGCTCAAATAACATAAGAGTAGTTAATAACTAAATACAACAAAGGGAAAATGGTTAAATATAAATATTCACTGTATATTCTGGGGTTTGTTGTGATTGTATAAGCAAACACAGGTACCTCTCTGCACTCAAAGCTGATCTCTAGTTATTTGTGCAAATGCAATAAAAGACAATGTGCTCATTTTCAAACCAGAATTCTTAACACTCTTAGAGATTGGTACTCAGTATTTGTAATATGCACAGACCCAAGCCTCCCAAATGCCACTTTTTCCATTCTTAGACCTTAATTTCGTGTTATCCATACCATGTGTATTCAACTCATTAATCAGTCAACATCGATGTAGAGCTTAAGATTTATAATGTTTTCTCATACACAATTTACCTTTGAATATTCTATTGAGAAACCTCTCTCTCTCTCTCTCTCTCTCTCTTCTCTCCCCCTCTTCTATATATTTTGCAGACACCATTCACCTTCGAGTTCTTGAGTCTTCCCCAATTGGCACAGCCATTGGGAGCGTAAAAGCAACTGACGCTGACACTGGGAAAAATGCAGAAGTAGAATACCGAATTATTGACGGTGATGGGACTGATATGTTTGACATCATAACTGAGAAGGACACACAGGAAGGCATCATAACTGTGAAAAAGGTTTACAGCATCAGTTTAAATAAGCACCTGCCCATTTAGCAAATAGAGATTTCATTATGTGCTATCCCCTCAGGCATTATCCATTAGGAGACGTCACTATCAGTCCAAATGTGATTTATATTGTGCACAAGTATGAGAAACACAAAGCCAAAGTTCTCCTTGGACATTTTGACCAAGTGCTTTTGTTGATTGAAACATGAAACCTGAGTTCTTACAAAATTTAAAAGGCAAATTAATAGATGTGTGACTCCATTTCTGAGTCTTGTGAATAAAAGCCCCTCCATAATAACATTGTTTTCTTAAGAAAAAGCAGTTAATAGCTAAAAATGGCAATATATCATCCCAGTTGGAGGCATAAAAAGTAGCATGCCATCTATCCAGATGTATGAAGAAATAATTAGAGCTGCTAATATAAAGAGACAACATATTTTGAAAGATAATTTAATTGTTCACATTTTCCTTTCTGCTATATAAATTAAACTTTTCTGCTAATATATGCTCAGTGTTACAGTTTAAAAGTAACTAGTTTTTTTTTTTATTGTAGAGTCAGTACCACCAGTATAAGAAAAAATTAAGGTCCCGTAAAAGTTAAGGTCCCATAAAAGTTAGATCATATTGAAATGTGCTAAAAACTCTATTGCATGAAGTAACCACTGAAACACTGAGTAATCACAAAACTTTCCAGAGATTCAGTTGCCAAGGCCAAGGTACGCAACCAAATGTTTTTATTTTTTTTATTTTTATTTTTTTAAAGATTTTATTTATTTATTTGAGAGAGAGAATGAGATAGAGAGAGAGCATGAGAGAGGAGAGGGTCAGAGGGAGAAGCAGACTCCCCGCTGAGCAGGGAGCCCGGTGTGGGACTCGATCCCAGGACTCCAGGATCATGACCTGAGCCGAAGGCAGTCGCCTAATCAACTGAGCCACCCAGGCGCTCCTACCAAATGTTTTTAAATGGACAGTGACCAGCAAAGGAGGAAGCAGCTTCTTTGTTGTTTTTCATGCCTGGAAAGTAATAGTAATGCAAGTAGAATCTACTGCTTATTAGATAAAAAAAAAAGGAAGGTTGAAGGAATCTGAATCAACAATGTCTTTTTTCTGTTAACAAAGCATACATTTTAGAAGAGTGAGGGGAGGAGCTTGATTTCATACTTGTGACAGTTACACTACATCAATATTTAAGTTCCATTTTTTTGTTTCATAATGTAACTTAATTACCAAGTTGCTATCAAAGTTTTTGTCTGTTCTCTTTACTCAAGGCTTTCCTTATCTTCAATGTTTCCTACAACTGTTGAAAGTTTTATATTACTCTTCAAAATTTTATAGTTTATGTAGTACCTTGCCATTAAACTGAATGGAAATAATCACAACATAAATGTAAAAAGATAACTGAATTTTTTGCTTACAAACATTAAGCAGCAGCCAATACCTCAGCCCACACACATGCACACGTAAACACACACAGTCTCCCAGCTCATTTTTTATAATGAGTCACACATTATGAGATAGGTTTTAATATCCTTTCCAATTTGTCCAAGATTCAAAATCTAATTTTCCTATGTTCTGAAGTATTATGCATTGAATACATAAAATGAAAATTGAACCCTATCCGAAATGTAAAGGTCGTATTACAATTTTTTATTACTTTTAATTATTTACACTGAACAACCTGACAGAACTCAACCAGGCTTTAAAAATCACACTGTGACTTGAAAAGAACATAGTCCAATTTCCCTCACTCTAATTTGATGATTTATTTATATATACAGCCACTTGACTATGAGAGCCGAAGACTTTACACTCTGAAGGTTGAAGCAGAAAATACCCATGTGGATCCACGTTTTTATTACCTGGGACCATTTAAAGATACAACAATTGTAAAAATCTCTGTAGAAGATGTGGATGAACCTCCTATTTTTAGCAGATCCTCCTACCTGTTTGAAGTTCATGAAGATATTGAAGTGGGGACGATCATTGGTACTGTGATGGCAAGGGACCCAGATTCTACTTCTAGCCCCATCAGGTAAGTATGCCTATGTTTCAGATGAAAGAATGGGAATTAAAATAAATATAGAGATCATGAAAATCTAATTATAGCATTTAATACATTAAAATATATGAGTCTTTCCATGAGTTGTACAAAAATTTGAAGAGCACAGGTGTTTAAAGTAAATTGTCTCTGAATGTTTTGGGGCAAGGCATGCACAGCTTCATCATTTGGTCCAGTTTAAATCATGCCTTTTAGCCTAAAACCTAGCTTGTATCATCTGTCTCTTTCTTTAAGGTATTTGTTGTTCTGACCTGGGTACAGATAAAGGGACACTGTGTCAGCTGTGCATTTACAGTGTAACCAAATCATGTTATTTGTGCTTTCAGTTATTAAAGGATATGTTAAGTTGAAAGTTGTAACAGTTAAAAGAATATAATTACAACAATATTACAATGCAGTTATATTACATTTTAGAAACTCCCCTATACTCCTACCATCAAAGAAGGGAAGGTTTTTGTTTGTTGTTTTTGTTTTGGCTGTATCAAAAAATATTTTAAAAAATATTAAAGCATTCCAGAAAGATCATAGTAATTTCATTTTTTTTTTTTGCTTTGCTTTCTTATGGCAGCCTAAAAATATATGGGATGTAATAAACATACAAATGAGAAGGACTCAAAAGTTTTTATTGACATTTGGTCTATCATTTTAAAGAAATACAGATATCTATATATAATATTGACCATCAAAATGACTGTTCATTTTAAAATGTTAGTGCATGATGTGTTTTGGATTTCATTCATTTCCCTATTCTCAACAGGTTAATTTTGTCTCCCCCTTGTTCCACATGGACCAGTCAAGTAAGGGTTTAAATGATGGTTAACAATTTCCAAGCACACTCTTCTCTGATTCCTAAGAATACAACAGCAGAATGTAGAGAATCTCTAATTTTGTATGCCATGTGACTCTAACTCACATTAAGGTTAAAAGTGCTATAGGTTCTGCCACATCTTCAAGTGAAGTCATATTTCATATATATTAAAATTAGCATTTGATTTATGTAATTTTATCTAAATATTTTCTTTTTTATTTTGTTTTTATGTTTCTTTTAGTTCCAGTGTAGTTAACATACAGTGTTTTATGTTTCTGATGTACAATATAGTGATTCAACAGTTCCATATATTACTCAGTGCTCATCAAGATAAGTGTGCTCTCAATCTCAATCACCTGTTTCACTCATTCCCCATGCACCTCCCCTCTGGTAACCATCTGTTATTCTCTATAGTTTAGAGTCTGTTTTTGGTTTGTCTCTCTCTCTTTCTTTTTGTCCATTTGTTTTGTCTCTTAAATTCCACATATGAGTGAAATCATATGGTATTTATCTTTCTCTGATTGACTTACTTCGCTTAGCTTTATACTCCCTAGGTCCATCCATGTTTCAAATTGCCTAAATATTTTCTTATATTCACATAGAGCATCACAGGTTACATATATGGTAATCATGTACAGCTCCCAGCTGCCAGCACGACTTCCCCATAATTGCCTTTTCCCAAGTCCGTTTGTCTTCATTGAAATTGCTGTATTGCTCAGATATTTTTTTTCCTTTGAAGCTTTTATATAACCAATACACATGTTTAATTTTACCCATTCAATACTTTCCAAGCATTTTCCTGGTGTAGCTCCTAAGTAACTATAACAGGCTGTGTGCTGTGTTCCTGGTTTTAAAGTGGCCTTTTTAAAATTAAATATAATATTTTTAAAAAAAGAGTTCAACTTAAATCCAGTGGTGTTATAAAGTGGCTATATAAAGAAATTCTCCTCGCAAAGAAATAGATTTTGCATCCTCTTATAGACCGATGGTTATTATATGGCAAAATATATCTGGATTTTGAAACAAAAAGGAAATATTTAATCAGAATGCAAGTCTAAGGAAAGAATCCATTTATCTTTACTATATGGTAACAGAATTAATGCTTATTAATGACAAAGTCTATGCCATAAAGTTTGTCATATAATTGAATTTATGCTAACTGATGTATAAAATGCAATTGAATATTTTTGGATGTTAATAATGATAGAACTATAGGTTATATATATATATATAAAATCAGGGATAAAATAGCTTTACTAATGCAATGTATTTATGGGATAGATAATATAATACTGGGCATATTATAAATTGTTTAAGTCATATTATGTATGTTAATGCAATAATCAAAGGGATTTACTTTGTTCTGGAAATGATCTTAAAAAGGAAAATGAAAATTAGCAGACATAATTTGCCAATAGAGAATTGGAAAATATAATTATATCATGTTTGAAAAAGAACCAGGATCTCTCTGTATCTTTAAGATAATTTTGCATAACCCTCTAAATTTTGACATCCGTTTTTAAACTAAATTGTAAGATGGGGCGCCTGGGTGGCTCAGTTGGTTAAGCGACTGCCTTCAGCTCGGGTCATGATCCTGGAGTCCCGGGATCGAGTCCCACATCGGGCTCCCTGCTCAGCAGGGAGTCTGCTTCTCCCTCTGACCCTCTTCCCTCTCATGCTCTCTATCTCTCGTTCTCTCTCTCTCAAATAAATAAATAAAATCTTTAAAAAAAAATAAATAAACTAAATTGTAAGAAATAAGACAAAACACACATAAAATGATTTAACAAGGACAATAATGTTTATATTGATTTACATATTGCAACTTCACATCATATTTCTATAGAAATAAGAAACCTTATTTGCCAAAATACCAAAGAATTCGGTTGTCCTTTTTTTCATTTAATAAATATTTGTGGATCACCATATCAGATATAAACATATTTCTCAAGAAGTTCTCAGTCTGTTAGGGAAGAAGATTCAGTATGAGAAATAATATTCATTGAGTGCTTACTATACTTCAAGAATGATGCTTGGTTTTTTTCATGTTTGATTTTCTGTTTGAAATGTAACTCATATTTTGATGTTGAATTCCTAACACAATGTGGTAAATGATACATTTAGATACTACATTTAGAGATGAGCAGTAAAAGATACTTGGGATGGGAGGAGACAAATAAGCTTCTACTTTAGGTAATCATGAAACACTCAAAGGAGGAGGTAAATTTATGTTGAGTCTTTCAGTAGTAAAATAATTTTGTCAACTTGAGAATTTGTGAATTATTCCAGATATACAGATTCAGTGTTTTGCAAACTTATGTGTGAATGATAAGACCTGCTGTTTGAATGCAAAACTGAATTCATATTGTATTAATAGAGAGGGCTAGAGCTTATTAAGGAGATTTGTTAAATACTGGTCTGTTCCAGTTAGAACTGATTTAAAATAAAACCTAAAATAAGCAGTCCTCCAAAGTAAAATCAAATTAGCTGTATTGATGGCTTAAGTTGTTCTTCAAATGCAATTTATTCAAAACCCAGAATAGGGACTGTAAGTTTCAATTGATTTTTGGAAATATCGTACAGGTTTGGAACATTAAAAGAGAAGAGTTTTATGGCACTTTAAAAATTATTTTGTATTAGTACTCACAAACCACAATTTAAAAATAGTATTTCATAAAATTTTCCTAAAAATAAGTGACAGTTGTGGCTTAGGAAAAGATATGCCATTACTGAATGTTACTCCTGGACTTGTCATCTTTGTTTTGCTTTGTTTATTTTTTTAATATGGAGCATTAAATATAACTTGAGGATTATGCTTGCTAACTCAAGGACTATAAAGCATTTGTAAGCCACTAGGATTGTGAAGTGGCAGGGACTGATGAGGGATATAACTATCTTAAACCTTGCCTGACAATCTCCCAAATAATGGGATTTATCCCAACTATAACAACCTGATTGATAAACGTGGTGTTAGGCTTTAGAATGACACTCAACACAATGTCTTTAATCAATGTGCAGCATAGTTGGTTTCTTATACATAAGCTAAGACTTCATTTTTTAATTTTTTATTTGTTTTCTGAGACTTGGTAAAAATGTGTGAAAACTCCTACCCCAAATTTTCTGTTTTTAAAACATCTTTAGTTAAAATGTATACATTTTTTTAATGATACATATGGTTAAAAACTGAAGCTACATGGGTATCATACCATGAAGTTACTAAACATCATCATAAATTGATAACCTAACTAATCTGTTGAAACTAATGTTGGCTCCAATTTCATCACTATGAAAAAGACTTTGCTTCTGGGAATGCTTTTTTGCATTTGATCCTTACAGTAATTCCTTAACAGAATTTTCAACTCCTAGGTAAGGTCAGTTGGTAATCTAACCATCTGTAATGCCAACTACTTTGTGGAACAAAAAAATACTTCCCAGTCAGTTGAATATGGCAATAGATAGTGATTTAATAAAACAAATATTCAGAAGGCCATCATTTTGAATGCTGAACAAAGTACCAGCTCATGCCTTGGGAAGAGGAGGAAGGTAGAGATGGTGGGTGTGTGTGGGGGGGGGGGAGGAGTTCCTGATGTGTGTGTGCATGTGTTCATGATAAATCAATGAAACAGTTTTCATTCTACATCAGTAATATGTACTCTTATGAAATTATTACATGTTACCGTGTGTGTGTGTTTCCATTACACCATTTTCTCCTACAAACCAATAATACTTCCATGTATTTTTCTTTGCTTTCTATGTTCAGATTTTCCTTGGATCGCCACACTGACCTTGACAGGATTTTTAACATACATTCTGGAAACGGATCCCTTTATACATCAAAGCCACTTGACCGTGAACTATCTCAATGGCACAATCTTACTGTTATAGCTGCTGAAATCAGTAAGATGAATTTTATGTATATAATATTTAACATATATTAGGTTTTATTTCATATTAAAAATAATTTCTTCTCATTATATGCATGAATTATAATTTTAATCTGCTTTTAAAAGTCTTCAAACTAATACTACAATATATATTAACTAACTTGAATTTAAATAAAATCTTGAAAAAAAAGAATAAAGCATTGATTTCAAGCAAAAAAAAAAAGGCTTCTCAACACCTATGATTCTTTTCAATAGTTTCTATATATACTGAGGGATAGTTATAGGTATCCCAAATCAACATTTAATATTGACTAATAAAGATTATTTAGAATTGGGCACTAAAGATATCCTCTTTTGGGGAAAAATAAATGCATTAGATTTATTACATGGGCACTATAAATTAAAATCTATGCTAAATGGTGGGTGCGTACCATTTAACAACAAACATGTATGTAGGTATTATTTCTTCCTTTTTACAGATGAGGAAACCAAGGTATTGTAATAATAGCTAACATTAAGCACACTATGCCAGGTATTATCCTAAGAATTTTATATTAATTTTCTCCTAGTAATATTTTTATTGACCTTATTTAACAGAGAAGGAACTAAGGCTCCAGAGGTTTTGGTAACTTGCCCGAAGTCATGATGCCAGAAGTAGTAAAACTGAGATTTAAAACTAGTCATTCGGTTTCTAGATCCAATACTTAATTCTACACCTAATTTACAAAATTTCATATAAGTAATAACAGGCAAAGCCAGTATTCAAAATCATATCTGTCTCTAATTGCAAAGGTTCTTGCCCATTCACAGGACTTGTGACGTAATTTATGGAGCCCGTTATAAAATAAAACGTCAGACCTCTTGTTAAAAAATGATTAAGACATTTAACATGGCAACGGTAGAGCCTTAAAATAAGCATGGGGCCCTTCTTAGAGTGAGGCCCGGTACAATTGCACATGCTAATGAAGCCCCTTTGTCCACTCATGCAAACGTGTTCATGGTCTGCAATTCCTGTACTGTGATTTACTGGAGTAAAGCAACTCTATTTTAAAAAGAAGCATTAATTAGGGACTGAATCTTGGTGAAAACTAAGCCTATAAATTCCAGACCTGAAATACGAAGCTGAATCCGCAAACATGTATCAAGGTCAAGTTATCTGAAGCCACCATTTCAGGATTTGGAAGGCAGAGCAATGGGGCCAAATTGCCAAAAGTCTCAGAAGGATGGAATGAGGCTGGACAGATCATTAACAATGAATTCAAAGCTTCAGGATAAAATAGTAAACTTAGCTTTCTCCTTAAATCTGGCTCTGAAATACGGATTAACTCCACCATCCAAATGACCCAGTTTTTCCATAGTAAGTTATAAATGGCTGTGCCTTTTAAGGCCAACTGAAGATTTTTTTGAGTTTTTCTTTTAAGGAAAGCTTTTATTTCTATTATCTATCTCCACATCACCACAGTTAGATGTGCCTGACACGGTCCAGTCTGATCATTCCAGAATCATGGTTGTTTGTGCTCTCTGCTTGATTCAAGATTCTAATTCAAGCCTAATGAGTTAGGAATTGCCTTTTCCATTTCAGATACTTTGAGAAATTTAAGTTCTAAAGCTAGCTGAAGTAATTACAATTCTGTAAAAAGCTAAGCCAATTATGTTCTTCTTTTTAAGAACTAAACCTATTTTTTGCCCTTAAGTGATATCAATTTATGGAGTAAACTGCTGGAAATTCCTACCTGCCAAGCCACAAGCAGTCAGAGGCCCATTATGCTGGTCTGGGTATTAAAGGGCTAAGGGAGAGAGGGAAACAGCATATAGGAAATTGTTTTTACTAGATTTTAAGCACTGGGTTTGTGGTAAGTGTGCATTACACCAAGCCCTAAGAGGGCAGAATGACGTTTAAATGCACTTCTTACCAATGTGTTTTCAAGCCCTACCTCTAACAGTTTAATTCCACATTCCACAGCAGTATATCACATCATACGGCAAGTACTACCTCAGGTAATTATTTAGTGCATTATACCATGAAATAACTTCTCCTTTTCTTCTTCAAAAATATTTTTTAAATGCCATTTGGAGAATAAAGAATCTAAAATGAAGGTCATAATTGGATCTTAGAAATCCGTTGTAGAAACTAATGAGTTCCTCTCACCCCATCTGAAAACTTTACTGTAATCATTGCAATACAGTCTGAGAACAGTAGAATAAAGCTTATGATCAAAGAACTCCATTATTTATACCTAGCCCTTGAGAGTGGAAATTCTTGCCCTAAGCAGGTAGAAAAGATAAATCTTTCTAAGGTTAGGATTTCTAGAAAACCATTTAAGCTTTCCTTTTCTTGGATATGGAAAAGACTGTGGATACATCGGAATGCTTTCACATTATAAGATCCTTTACTGCTGATACATTCTTGCTATAGTAGAGTGTGCCTAGATGACTCTGAGAATCAGGTGGTAAATATGCCAACTGCCATTCCATATGACGCTTCTTGGAATGCTTTGTTTTTACTTGTACATGAGCTGCAACATCTACCAGTAAAAAGATGAGTGTAAGCACTGTTGTTTGAGTAGGTGACTCTAGGCCTGATGTTACATAAACACATTTATCCTTGTGAATTTAGCTTTTCATTTGAAGAGACTTTTTGAGCTATCTGTAAAGAAGCTGGAGAGTCTTCATTTTGTGTCCGGGAATGGACTGACAGTGCAGTATTTTAGATCTGATATTGTTCTTATATTGTTCTGCCTCTCTTGACTTCCAACAAGAGTTATATTTGTCAAGACTATTGAAAGAAAATATTCTGCTATGTCCACTAACTATATTAGCTGAAAAGCTCTTGCTAGAAAATATGGAAGAATCATACCTTCTTATTCATACCATAGCAATGCATAGCTCTAGGTAGGTTGTGGATTCATTTGTAGGTGAACCCTTTGTAGGTGAATTCTGGCTATTTGCAAATGGTTTAGGACAAGGGGAGGTAGGAAAAGAGTGGGATAGGATTTTTTTTCTTTTTTTTTCTCCTTTCTCCACTGCTCCCCAAATGTAGTCTGCTTCAGGCCTGTATGAACTGTAGGGAAACTAGTTAATACATGTATTTTTTATTGCGTGAGAGCTTTGTTGTGGAGTAACATAGAATAAGCTGTCAAGTAATGTAAGAAAATGAAAAAGGTATCACGGTGATAATAAAGATGATCTTAATAGTTGACATGTATTGAGTGCTTACCAACCAACTAATACTTTGATAATAGCTTTTGATAGTTTTCGTGCATTAACTGACCTAATTTTTCAAATAACACCATAGATTAGAAGTTCTATTTTGATTTCTATTGGGTAAATTGAGGCATTAGAGAGTTGGAGTAAATTGGCCAAAGGCACACAATGAGTGAATGGTGAATCTGGGAATTCAAGCAGCTCTGTTATACTCCAGGGTCTGGACTCTACAACCACCTGACATAGGAAGAAGTGAACAATAGGCAGCAATACATTAGCAAATGGGAAATCAGAACCTGAGAATGGAATGCACATGGGTGAAAAAGACTAAGACTGGAAAGGAGTGTTAAAGAGAGGATGCCTTTCAAAGTTTCTCTTGAAAAAAAATAAAAGGCAGATAAATACACTTCACATGGATTTAGAATTCTATCTGCCTTCCTTCATATGACTCAACCTTGTAAAGGTCCTTGCTGAGTAATCAGTTCTCCCATATTATTTTTAAAAGTGCTGACTTCATTATTTTAGTAACATTATAATTACATGGAGAGAAAGGAGAAATAAATTATTTTGCATAGTAATATCCTTCCTATCTGTACATGATAATATTTTTTATCCTTGTATTTGAAAATTATATAGATAAAATTAGAAAGTCAGATACATTTCACAAAGGTAAATAGTATGATCCATAACCCATGTTAGTAGAGGCCACTTAATAAGATTGCTATTGTCCCTCACTTAATCTGTTATTTGTTTTTGTTTTATTTTGCTTTGTTTTTAGCTAATTACCTCTTTTCTCCTTTTCTATTGATCTTCAGTTTGACTTTGCTGAAGTCCACACAGAAGTTGAACTACCAAAGACTAAGATTTTGATATCACAAAGGCTGATAAATATAAATTGAATTTAAGATGTCAAAACACTCAGATACCAATACTAGTGTCTAGAAAAGCCCATTTGTGAGATAATGCAATTTTGACTAATACAAGGGTGTTACCCAAGGCTAAGCTAAATAGACATTCATATTTTTAAAATTCCATTTACAAATCAACACAATTTTTAATGCATATTTTTATCTGAAAAATTTGATGCTCTTGATTTTAGTATTTGTAGCAAAAAAATCATAATTATTATACTATATGTTACTATTGAGCTAATTTTGTTATACAAAATTGAGCCTGGATTGTTGAAATGGTACCAGTACAAATTAATGAAACATTCAAGTGCTTATATTTTCCTGTAAATTTCCACCCAACTTGTAAAATTAGTAGCTATATATTAAAATTTCCAAAAGGGGAGTTCGGAGTAGCTATTGGAATACATTTTCGCTATTAAAGTAGTCAGGAGGATGAGTTGTAACATAACAACTACCACTTAGGAGTTAATGACCATGGGCAAGTTGATAGTTTATTTAAAATTATTACTTCGTCCAAAAACTCAGTAAAGCTTAATATAATACTGCATGACAAAGATTTAATAAATATTTGTTCTTATTTTACATATTTGGACCAAGGACACAAATACAATATGAACTCAATTACACTGGATTGTGCTTTTAAAAAGATTTTCCAAAATAATAGTAGTTCTCTGGAGACCAATAATAACCGAATTTATGACTACTTAATTAGACTCTGTAGTAATTTTCTTTATTGTATTTGCTCATTATGTTGCAGAATGAACGCGATGCTTATTTTTATGCGAGCACTTAATATCCACAAGATGCTTATATAAATGAAATCTGGTGCACAAATGTGTCTTCCTAAACAAAGTTTTCCTTTGCCTTTTCTAGACAATCCCAAAGAGATGACTCGCGTGGCTGTTTTTGTGAGGATTTTGGATGTTAACGACAATGCCCCACAATTTGCTGTGTTCTATGATACTTTTGTATGTGAAAACGCGAGACCAGGGCAGGTGAGCACCCATAGGACTTAAAAGCTTTGGAAGATTTTAACAGCTTGTTAAATGTTTTCTTTTCCCAATCTTAAGAAGAATAAGTAAACAGAGATAAAAACGGTCATGTAAGTCCCAGTAATATAAAAAAAAAAAAGACTGATATTTTTAGGATTCTAAATGACACTATAGCATGTTTCACATTTCTTTTGTGACATTCTAATGAAAATATAAGATTTTATTGTTGCCACAAAAATTAAGGTGTAAGAAGAAAAAACTTTCACTTTTTAACTTTTCACAAACAAAACCAGGAAAAAAAAAAAAAACCTCTGCTGTTTCTCTAGGTAAATATTGATACCTGCTAGAAGAGATGGGAGGTGGAAGTTAGGAGAAACACAGCGACAGATTCATGGGATCAGTGAAAGAGTGCATCAATATTCCAATGTATGCAAATGATTTCAAAGCAGGGCCGCAGGATTCACTCCTTAAATTTATACTTTTATTTCATCATTATAGCAACACTTAAGAGTGCTTCATGACTTAGTTTTTGTCCTTTAAAACATTCTTCCTACATCAGCTTTGTTTATAACTCTTTAAGTCTTTTCCTCAGTGGACTCATTTTGTTGTTTGAAAAGCTACAGTGTATATGGCTGAAAGAAATGCTCCTAATTGGTTTGAGTGCTATCTTCACAGAAGGAAGCGGCATGTTATAAATAATAATTGGGAATCAAATGTGTTTTATTAAAGAAAGAGTAGCCATCACAAAACTGCATTGTGTTTTCACATCATTTGATGCTCTTTATAAACATCAATGTCATCGTTACATTTTTATGCAAATTACGTTGTGGGATAACACAAATTCTTCCTTCTGAAGATTCTAACAGGAATTCAATAGCCTGTCTATTGTTTGAAATGGCGAAATTGCTGCCATTGGATTCATTTTTTTTATTTGAAAATGTTATGGAAATGTTTAATTTGGAATATTTAAATGACAAAGCTACTTCCGACCTACTTCGTAATGAAACAGTGTTTGCCCTGAAAATACCATTCCAAATAGTCCTCTGCTTGGCAGGCTCAGCATGGTATAAGTTGAAGCCTTTTCTCTAAGAGATAAATTACCCACTTTACAACAGCTGCATGCATAGCTTCCTCTATGGTTATTCTATTTGATTTTTAAGAGATATCTTTTCAGAGCATTTGAGTCATTTTAAATACTGATTTCCAAATGTATTCACAATATACCAAATAAGGGATGGTGTTTTTTTTTTTCTTATGCCTCTTAAAAAAAAAAATAAATAAACTAAATCTGGTTCAGTAACTTTATATTTTTTGGATTTTAAAAACCAGTTGGCATATTGCAGGAAAATAATAAAAGCAAAGACAATTTTAATTTAAAAAGTAGCCTTTTGACAAACTTGATAGGAATAACATGATTAGTAATTTTGTCTAATTGGCTGAATGTGCAATAGCCTCCCATAGTAGCTATTTTTAATAAGATCAGTTTGTTAAATGCCATTTTGGTCTCTTGGCTGATAAATGGTCACTTAAACTAAACTGTTAGGTACTCAGTGATGGAATTCTAGATTACAACAGCCCAGCAGGCAAAACCAAGGTGTTTATTTGGAAAAGTCCTTCACTGAACCTTCTTTGAGATTTATTTGTTAACTTTCTCCCCTCCCTCTAGGGAAGTAGGAGCTTGTTAGGACGTCTGGGTGTAATTTAGTTATTTATAGAGTATTTCAACCCACTCAATTCTTCTCTGAATTAAGTACTGTTTTAAAATAGCACTGAACACGATAAAATAAATAAATAAATAAATAAATAAATAAATAAATAAATAAATAAATAAAAAGTAGCACTTCGAACAAGGACATAGGAAATGATTCCATCTATTTGTGTGGACAAAATGAGAGGACAGGTAAAGTTAACTGCCATCCCCTCTTTCTTTTCTGCCTCTTCCGTTCTCTAAAGGTAGAAGACTTTCCTCCTTGGAAAAGAGGCAACTTAAACTTGATGTAAATTAACAGTCACCTCTTGTGCCTGCACTAGGCTACCTGACTCCCCATCTTTTCCACCTCAGGAAGTCCCTTGGGAAAGGAGAGGAGAGAAGACTGGCTGTTTCAGTTTTCTTTCATTTTCCCTCATGCATGCCTCACTCCTTCAGTCAATAAAGCATATTTTAATAATTTTTCATCTTTATGGGAAGGAAATACTATTTCAAAGCAGGGCCGCAGGATTCCCAGAGAGTTCCCCAGGGAGGACTTCTGCTTGTATTTACCCACAGGTAGTATCTAAGCTCTAGGCCTTTGTCAGACCCCAAATATCCCTTTACATATTTCCATGGAACAATGTTGAGTTACTTACCTAACTGCTACTCTTCCCACAGCAAAACCTAAAACATTAAAACTTAGTGACCAGTTTTCTTACTTAAATATCTTAAAATTCATTTGTCATCCCACACTCCATTATGGTATGATCACTGAAAAAGCCCTCAAGCTGATTTGAGATTATTTTAGAACAGCCTAGTGAAAATATGAACCAATTTTATAACAGCTAAGAAGGTAAAATATAAATGACTTATCTGGGTCTATTCTTCATATGCTCAAAATGAATACCGGACATCACCAGTATTTGTTTGTTTGTTTTTTTCTCCATAATTGTGCAACTTATTTTATTGGAAATGAGTCAAAATGAACTTGTGTCCAGTAGGAATAAAATAACAAGTGCTTATATAGAGAGACCAGGGAGATGGTTTTATCTCCTTCATGTTACCAACTTCTGTTTTCTATTTTAACACCATCTTACATGCATATGGTATATGTACATACCCATATGTATGTGGTATATATACCAAAACAAATAAACAAACATATACCAAAACAAAATACACTTGATCCTTGAACAACGCATGGTTTATTTCTTTTATAACACTTAAAGAAAATATATCAGTGAATCACTAATTTTGAAACCAACAATGCTAACATCTTTTATTCAAATAACATTTTAATTAAGAATTTTTGTGTAAACCATTATAACTTCCTGTAGATATTTGCAAAGATGTGGCCATTTTGTTCTTGGAAATGTATTATTTTGGTTTATAAAAATAAACTGAAATTGTAATTTGTAATCACAGTTGAAAATGCATATTTATTTTAAGACATTATATTTCTTAAAAGACCATTAGCTCTACTTTTAAATTTCTTTCATATATATATATATATATATATATACTAACATATTAATCTTAATGATATATATAGAGAGAAACATAGAAGTTTTATTAAGTCTTCTACCTTTCTTGATGTTGTTTCATTTGTCATTTTTCCCTTTAACTTATTCTTATAAATCACGTTTTAAAAATAAAATCTTTTAGGGCGCCTGGGTGGCTCAGTTGATTAAGCGACTGCCTTTGGCTCAGGTCATGATCCTGGAGTCCCTGGCTCGAGTCCCACATCGGGCTCCCTGCTCGGCAGAGAGTCTGCTTCTCCCTCTGACCCTCACCCCTCTCGTGCTCTCTCTCTTTCCCTCATTCTCTCTGTCTCAAATCAATAAATAAAATCTTAAAAAAAATAAAATAAAATCTTTTAGACTGCTCGACAAACAAGTCAGTCAAGGATGATTTTGTAACTGAATTGACACCTCTTAAAGGGCATCAGCGAACACTTTTTATACATTTTTCTCTTAAATTCCTTCACATATGCACCATTTTTGGTTTTGTATTGGCTGGGTAAGCCATTAGCAATAAATCCTTGCTTTCTATTTAATCTTAAATCACCTCTAAAATTTCATTAAATAGTTATGTTATATTTTAAAATATATTTTAAGATTATTCAAAGTTTAAGTGATTTTTGGGGGCTGCTTATTCGTAGAGGATAAACATTTATCTTTGTTTGATACAATTATATTTCTTGTATTATTTTGAAATAAGTGGTTAGTGTTGTAATTAAATAGGGAGTAGCTAAAATTTATCACATTTTTATTTTTATAAGATAATTTAAAAGAAAATTAATTGAATACAGAAGAGTTAAAATAACTCCTTAATTTTTTTATAATTATGTGATATTTTAAACTTGAAATCTCTTTTTATATCAACAAAACAACAGTAACAAATATTTTCATCAAATATCGACACCCTGTTAAATAAGTCAAAGCAGTAAAGCATATTCCTTTTAGTTAAGCATAAATTTGGCCATTTATATAGGTATACAAATTGAACAACTTCTGAACCTCTCTTGCAATATTAAGATATGCAAAAAATTATATAAAATGTTATACATATAAGTTAAGGACAAATTGGATATATATGCAAAAAAGTACATAGCCATATGTTACATATATATTTGTATAATATTATTAATCATGTATGTTCAAAGAAGTGATCTGATTATAGTAAAAGGTGTTACATTTTATGCTTTGTTCCCAGATAGCTTCTTATATTGTCTCTTACCCTAAAATAAATCAGAGATGATCTTTATAAAATAACCATTTCCCAGGGCGCCTGGGTGGCTCCGTCGTTAAGCGTCTGCCTTTGGCTCAGGTCATGATCTCAGGGTCCTGGGATCGAGCCCCACATTGGGCTCCCTGCTCCGCGGGAAGCCTGCTTCTCCCTCTCCCACTCCCCCTGCTTGTGTTACTGCTCTCGCTGTCTCTCTCTGTCAAATAAATAAATAAAATCTTTAAAAAAAAATAAAAAATAAAAAAAAATAAAATAAAATAACCATTTCCCATGGTATATATATACTGAATTAAAAAATGTAATTTTATTGACAATGCAAGTGAACCATTACTCTTAAAGTAGATCATAATCTTTAAGTCTTTCCTTTAAAAAGTTTTACATAGTATTATCTATAAAATCTGTACATTCTTCGAATAGTTTTTACTTTTGATAAAGAGAAAAGCCATAATCACAATAGTTTTCTAAATTTTTCCTCCATTAGATAAACTTTTCCAGATCAATGTTTAAATATATATGAAATAACCTACTCATGTCAAATGCTATATCTAAATTAATAAGACTGCAAAGAATATGATATTGTCATTTGTTATTTTGAAGCCATGGATAATATGTAGGAGAAATTGAGAAGGAGGGACAGCAAGAAACAGAGACAGAGAGAAGCAGAGAGGGGAGGGAGGGAAAGAGAGAGAGACTTTGTTAAAGTCAAAGTAATAATAAAAAAGATGGAATAAAATAAAGATACATGCGCAAGAAAGAAAATCAACTGCCTTTAAATTTAGACAAAATTGAATGTTAAAACATTACATATTGTAAAGCAGATTATACCCACAGAAGTTTGATAAATATGCATTTTTCTCTTTTTTGCAGCTAATACAGACTATAAGCGCAGTAGACAAAGATGACCCCTTAGGTGGACAGAAATTTTTCTTCAGTTTAGCTGCTGTCAATCCAAACTTCACAGTACAGGATAATGAAGGTAAATTTTAGAATGCTGTCATTATGATTTCAGGTGACATTTAATAAGAGCTTTTCTCCAAAGGAACAATTGCTATATGTTTTAATTTATTGATCTGTGTTACAAAATGTTGTTTTCATCAGATATTTAATGAGATATTAATTTCTTGCTTCTTTATATATTAATAAGATATACACTGTTCATTCTCTTAAATTGCAAAATAATAAAGATTTGAAATAAGTTTCAATATGAGTACTAATGAAAAGACTGAATCTTGAAAACATTAGAAAGCCTGGAAATAATCAGACACACTGGGTAGAGAAATGAATGATTCAGTGAGACCCTTGTGCAAATTTCAATGAGATTTAGTAGCAACAGATTCACCAAAGCCAAAAAGGCATGGAATATGGGTAAGAAGAAGTATCCATATTAGTCTGTGAGGGGTTTAAGTGCAAAAGCAGTTGCCAGGGCAAGATACACTATTCTTCTGGGCAATATGTAAATTTTATAATGTCTCTGTGATAAAAGATACTGAAATTGTATTTCTTGCATTCCCAAAGAGAGCAAAAACATATTTTAGAGGAAAAAATATGAAAATGCTTACTATTTTTAAAAAGCTGAACAACTTTATTCTTGGAAAAATATATATGGTAATTATTCTCATCTAAATAAAAGTGTATAGTTAGAGCTGTTTCCCCTTAATAAATTTATGTTAAACTAATTATATCAGCTGATCTTTTGTAAAAAAAGGCATACTTGTCTTAGGGTGAGTGTAGATATAGTTATTCTTAAAATAAATTTAATAACTACATTGACATATTTATAATACCTTCATAACAATGTATATCCCCTGGCAGAGCTAGATTGCTATATATCACCTCTAGGTGGCTTTCAGAATATCAGAAAGAAGTTTAAGATAACAGATAGTTTTACATTAACCCAATTATTCTTTGAGGTATTTGATATGGCAGAAAACTGCACAAATCAGTTGAAAAGAGGGCATCCACTGGTAACATCTGTATACTAAATCGTAGTTTCTGAAATGTCTCTTTTCCATCCCTCTGAACATCTAAATAACTGCAATGCGAAAAATTCTCATAGAATTGGCAGATAAGATACAAGATGTCTAGTTTCTTCTGATTATCAGCAAAACAGCACCCATCATTTTATTTGCTGAATCTGGCATCCTAAATATAGAACTTAGATGAGACATCCCTAGCACTGATTTGACAATATTATACCTCTTTCTAAGTGCATTTTAATGTATATTTTTGTTAAACTGGACCCCAACAAACCACCTCTCAATTTTAAAAAGCAGTAGAGACTTGAAAAAGTGTTATCACAGAATTTCACAGTTACTAGGTAAGCACCTCAAGGCTAATCTTAATTAATTTTTGATAAGTAGTGCCATCTTCCTATATTCAGAAGAGTTCCTGATCTTATATGAGTTACTCAAAGCAAGAGTTGAAGCCCTATGAATATAAATTTGAACATGTCACTATATAGAATACCACTAAAGTCAGACGGAATAAACTCACTATTCCAAAACTCACTATTCCAGAGTGCATAAACTCACTATTTTGTTATTGAGTGCATTTTGAAAAGAAAATCCAATGACATAGACATCACCTTATTGCTCTTCTTGAGAAAATGCCCTTGTGTTTATCTACATGTTCATCTTAGAAAACTTTAATTTTATGGTATCATTTTTTAAAATTAATTTCCTGCTTCTGTGATACCACACTTGGAGCTTTTGATTCTTAAAATTCCCATGCTTTTCACTAACTTATAGGTCAAAAGCCTAACTGTATGATGACTTTCTGAATATTTAATAAAGTGATTTGAATAGATGGGTTAGTTTAGGGTATAGCTTCATTTTATTCTTCAATATATTAAAAGTATTGTAGACAAAATTAAGATTTAGAAACTTTTAAAAAGTTAAAAAAGAATAAGGCAAGAAGTTTCTAAATATACCCGTATACCAACATCTGTTGTTTCTTGTGTTGTGGATTTTAGTCATTCTGACAGGTGTGAGGTGATATCTCATTATAGTTTTGATTTGTATTTTCCTGCTGATCAGTGATATTGAGCACCTTTTCATGTATCTGTTGGCCATCTGTATGTTTCCTTTGGAAAAATGCCTATTCATATCTTCTGCCAACTTTTTAATTGGATTATTTGTTCTTTGTTTTTGTTTTGGAGGGTTATTTGTTTCTTGGGTGTTGAGTTTTATAACTTCTTTAAATATTTTAGATATAAAATGTGTGTTTTTCATATATGGCCTTTATGATGTTGAGGTATGTTCCCTCTAAACCTACTTTGTTGAGGGTTTTTATCATGAATGAGTGTTGACTGAGGATGTGGAGAAAGGGGAATCCTCTTGCACTCTTGGTGGGAATGCTAGTTGGTGTAGCCACTCTGGAAAACAGTATGGAGGTTCCTGAAAAATTTAAAAATAGAAGTATCCTATGATATAGCAATTGCACTACTAGGAATTTACCCAAAGAATACAAAAATACTAATTCAAAGGGATGCACCCTAATGTTTATAGCAGCACTATCTACCATAGCCAAATTATGGAAACAGCCCTAGTATCCATCAACTGATGAATGGATAAAGAAGAGGTGGTATATATATATAAAATGGAATATTACTCAGCCACAAAAAAAGAATGAAATCTTGGCCATTTGCAAAGACATGGGTGGAGCTCCAGAGTATTATGCTAAATAAGCCAGTCAGAGAAAGACAAATACCATATGATTTCATTCATATGTGGAATTCAAGAAACAAAGCAAAGGAGTAAGGGGAAAAAGAGAGAAAGAGAGGCAAACCAAAAAATAACCAAGAAATAAACTCTTAACTATAGAGAACAAACTGATGATTATCAGAGGGGAGGTGGGTGAACAGGTAAAATAGATGATGGGGATTAAGGAGTGCACATATGATGGGCACCAGATGTTGTATGGAAGTGGATGAATTACTAAATTCTATGCCTGAAGTTAATATTACACTGTATGTTAACTGACTAAAATATAGCGCGCCTGGGTGGCTCAGTTGGTTAAGCGACTGCCTTCGGCTCAGGTCATGATCCTGGAGTCCTGGGATCGAGTCCCACATCGGGCTCCCTGCTCAGAGGGGAGTCTGCTTCTCCCTCTGACCCTCTTCCCTCTCGTGCTTTCTATCTCTCATTCTCTCTCTCTCTCTCTCAAATAAATAAATAAAATCTTAAAAAAAAAACTGACTAAAATATAAATAAAAACTTAAGAAAAAGAAAATAGGAAAAAGATATATACCCATGTACATATAAATATTTATTTTAGTGTAAGTTAGAGAATGGAAGAATTATATCCTAATACTTTTTGGAAGATAAGTCAAATTTGAAAAATTATCAGGATTAAATTTATTTTTTAAATTTGCTTATGTATATCTTCTATTTTGCTAATCCTCTTTCCTAGCTTTTATAGTTAACTGATGTAGTAGAAATAACTTCTTACTAATAATTTAGGAAATTACTGCTTTATGTTCAACCACTATACCTGCAAGAAATTTTCACCTTTCTTTTTTCTTGTTGTATTTGATTTAGCAATTGGCTGACTCACTCCCTTCCCTACATTAGCATTTTGAACAGGCTTATGGGATTGGCTAAAGAAGACTAAGTGCATTGGACAAACAGAATAGGAAATTATCATCCAAGTACATATTAATTTTTTTTAAATATTGATTACAGGGGCACCTGGATGGCTCAGTCAGTTAAGCAACTGAGCCCCAGAGCCCTGGGATCGAGCCCTGCATCGGGCTCCCTGCTCAGCAGGAAGCCTACTTCTCCCTCTTCTGCTCCCCCTGCTTGCTCGTTCTCTCGCTCTCTTTTTCTGTCAAATAAATAAAAGAAAAAATCTAAATATTGATTATAGAGGGTTAGGTGAAATCTTTTTTATTAAAACCACAGCCTCCATTTAAGAATACTGGGTGTTATCAGATAAAAAAAATAACTGTAGCAATATACTAGTTAGTAGGATGCTTGGGTTTATTAAATCCTTACATCTGTCTATGCATTTATTAAGTAATCCATATCAGTGGTCATCCACCAATACCTTGATTTATAGATTATATTCATTTTAATGGGTAGAAATCAAACTTCAGAAACATTAAATAACTTGCTGGGGCACCAGGGTGGCTCAGTTGGTTGAGCATCCTACACTTGACTTAGGCTCAGGTCATGATCTGAGAGTTGTGGGATTGAGCCCTGCATCAGGCTCTGTGCTCAGTGTGGAGTCGGCTTGGGATTCTCTCTCTTTCCTCTCCCTTTGCCCCTCTCCCTGCTCACACTCTCTTTCAATATGAAATAAATAAATAAATAAATAAATAAATAAATAAATAAAATCTTTAAAAGAAAAAAAAAAGGAAGGAAAAAATAAAGAAAAAAGGAAGAAGGAAAGAAAGAAAGAAAACAAAGAACTAATGAACGAACTTGTTCACCACTGTTTATATATTGTGACTCTTGAATGGTTTTGAGTGCATGATTGATTTTAAAAACGCAACTACACGTAAAATTTACTCATTCATATTTTTCTTCATGAGTATTGGATTAATGTGTGTTTTCTCTCTGTATGTGTGTGCACATGTATAAACATATATGCATATACAAATAAAAACAATTTACTATGATTTTTTCCTTGGTATGCTTATTTATATTTTCTGAAAACTCTGAAAAACAATATGCCATTATCCTCGCAGTCCCGGTAAAATGTTCACTTATAAAAATTCACCATCGTAAAAGCATTATGTGCGAAAAAGTTAGAAACCTGTCAAATAAGCAATCATAGTCGGAGACTCCTCAAATTAATTTATCTTACCTGTATTTTCAAATGTTGCATTGTAGGCATGTTACAGGAAAATTGATCTTCATTTAATATTTTACATAAACATCTCTTTACTTGTATTGTCAAGCCTGGGTGAGCAGCATGAGAGAAACTTACGGTCCCAAGCCATCTGTAATATGTTAAAATTTATTTTAGATAATACTGCCCGAATTTTAACCAGAAAAAATGGATTCAATAGACACGAAATAAGTACCTATCTCTTGCCTGTGGTGATATCAGACAATGATTACCCGATTCAGAGCAGCACGGGTACTTTGAGCATCCGAGTGTGCACCTGTGACAGCCAAGGCAACATGCAATCCTGCAGCGCCGAAGCCTTGCTCCTCCCCGCGGGCCTCAGCACGGGAGCGCTCATCGCCATCCTCCTCTGCATCATTATTCTACTGGGTAAGAAACCTCAAAGAGAACATGATTAGAAGGACGCCTGGGTGGCTCAGTCAGTTAAGTGTCCATCTTTGGCTCAGGTCATGATGCCGGCGTCCTGGAATGGAGTCCCGCGTCTGGCTCCTTCCTCAGCAGGGAGGCTGCTTCTCCCTCTGCTTGTGCTCTCTCTCTGACAAATAAATAAAATCTTAAAAAAAAAAAGGAAAGAAAATGTGATTATTTCCTGGACTGTTTACATTAGTGTATTTGTCAATAAGAAATTCTCTTATTAAAATAACTCCTCCCCCATTAACTCCAACATCTAAGATAGACCTAAGTTAATGACGGGATGTTGTTTATATTAAAATATTTTATCTGATCAGATAGTTATTACCTTTCTTTCTTAAATTATAAGACCGAAAGTTAGAGATATTCAAAACATTTTGCAAGGTTACACAATTTCTGAGTGGCTTAAACAAGGCAAGATACTTTGCTGTCTGTTATAGCTAGTTTTTCAGGAAATCTAAAGTTTATTTCCAGGTTTTTTTTTTTTTTTCATATGAGGGCTGGTTGGAGTCTTTCCATTGAAATCATGTTAAAATAGCCCTTTACCTGGTTCACTTTCCCCTGCAACAATAATACTTGATTTTATAACCTAGAGCAAATTGCTTTTTAACTGCTTTTGAATGAAAAATCAGATTAAGTTTACTCTCCAGTTGCCTTATCTTAAAACTATTGTGCATATTCCTATGACCCTAATCAAAAACATTGTATCTGACATTCTAAGAAGCAGTAAAATGAACTTGGATTTTGGAGCCAATCTTAGTTTCATTAGCCTCATTATTAGAACATTTTTTACCGGGTAAGATCATTTGGCTGACAATAAACAATCTAAGGTTTAAAATCTTCACATCATAAGTTTATGTGTGTGCATGAAAATATGAATTTAAGCAAAGTAAAATGTCATATTTTTCTCAAAGACTTGAAGAATAAACAATTTTTTTTCTCTCTTAGTGGTGGCCTATTTATTTTTTAACCACTTTGAAGATCAAGAATACTTATCAATGGATTAAAACCTTATTTTTTCTAGGCATTAAAAAAGTCCCTTCAGAGAAGCTTCAAGGCAGGTAGACTGACTGTCCTATGTTAATAAAAGAGAAAACAAAATTTAAGAGCCCTTCCCATACTAATGTAATTCTCTTAGTTCAGTCTGCTATAAGCATACCATAGACTGCATGGTTTCAACCCCAGAAATGTATTTCTCATAGTTTTGGAGGCTGGAAAGTCCAAAATCAAGGCACTGGCAGATTCCAAATTTGGTGAGGGCATACTTCCTAGTTTCAAGATGGCTGTCTAGGCTGTATCCCCACATGGCAGATGGCAATAATCTCTCTTGTTTCTTTTCATAAAAGCACTAATTCAATTCATGAGTGCTCTACCCTTTGACTTAACTACCCCCTAAAGACACCCCTTCCAAATACCATCACTTTGGGGATTTAGGCTTTAAACATGAATTTTGAGAGGACAGATTCAGTTCATAATGATAATAAATCCCATATTCTTTAAATGTTTCTTCTAAAGAAGCTATTAATAAACATAGATATTTCATCATACATATACCCGGTAAAATATTTTCCCTCTCTTTTCTTATTTAATTGAATTCAGATCTGTTACCCCAAATCATCATTCTCAAGGCTCATGTCCCAAGTATTTGGGGATAGTAAATGAGGGTGGAAAACTAATAACAGCCAGAGAGAATTTAACATTCTCCTATCTTTTATGCTATTATCATCATGATTAGTAAAATCATTATATTATTATTATTGATACCTTCTCAGGTATCAGTAGTAGGGAAATGTCCTTTCTGAATGATATACATTTCTATTTGTAAATCTCCAGTTGTTTGAGATATATCTAGCTAAGGTTCCTACATGCTTTCTGGAGGTAATTCAAGGTAGAAATTGAAATTTATTCTTTGCTATCATGTGATCTGATAACTTTCTTTTTGGTCTCATGTGTGATATATATTTCCATGTAATACCTCAAAGATTGATAAACCAATAGTGCCTAATCAGGAGGTCATTTGCCCTTCCCTTCTTTTAACAATGTAAGAAAAAATATCTATGCAAATCCATCAGCAAAACTATTTAACCAAAACCAACACTGTATCTTGTGAAGAATGCTGCATTTTCAATATTGTATAAGGATGTGCAAAATATGGGCATACTTTTGTCCTCAATTGTTTTATTTGAAGCTGAATTCAACTTGTGTCTATTTTTTATGTAACACCTTATGTCACTATTCAATGCAAAGTATAAATAATGTCTGTACAATCAGGAACTAACTTTAAACAGTTCTTAGGAAAATAGACAAAATATCTCACTGTATTTGAGAAATATCCCAGATGGCTTTAAAAATACATTAGAAACACTGCTTGCATACCCCACCCATCCTGGCTAAATCCTCAATTGCCTCTCTCCTTTCCACCCCTGCCCTCCCCAAATGATGGAAGTTCAAAATTAATCTAAAAATCCTAGCCTGTCCCCGAAAACCTAAATAACTCAAATTCCTCCACAGTACTTCCGCTCGTTATTTATATAGTGTTTTAGACGGACAGCTAATTAATCTTTTCTTTCTTTCTTTTTTTTTCAAGTCATAGTAGTACTGTTTGCAGCCCTGAAAAGGCAGCGAAAGAAAGAGCCTCTGATCTTGTCTAAAGAAGACATCAGAGACAACATTGTGAGCTATAACGATGAAGGTGGTGGCGAGGAAGACACTCAGGCGTTTGACATCGGCACCCTGAGGAACCCCGCAGCGATCGAGGAGAAGAAGCTCCGACGAGATATTATTCCGGAAACTTTATTTATACCTCGGAGGACTCCCACGGCTCCAGATAACACGGATGTCCGAGATTTCATTAATGAAAGGCTCAAAGAGCATGATCTCGACCCCACCGCGCCTCCCTACGACTCACTTGCAACTTACGCCTACGAAGGAAATGATTCCATTGCAGAATCTCTGAGCTCCTTAGAATCAGGTACTACTGATGGAGACCAAAACTACGATTACCTCCGAGAATGGGGCCCTCGGTTTAATAAGCTGGCGGAAATGTACGGTGGCGGGGAAAGTGACAAAGACTCTTAACCTAGGAGATAGATATAGATATATCTATATCTATAGATATATCTATAGATATATATATATATTCTATTCAAACAAGAGGAAGTAACTTGACGGACCCCGTCCCCACCACTTTACAATATTTGATATTCAGGAGAATTTTCCTGCCACTCAGCACAATTTTTTCCCATTTACTTTTTAATTTGTTCATTAATTACATTAATTCTTTTTCCTGTAGGATGTTTCATGGAATATATACGAAATTTTATTTAATCACTTCCAAGAGCCAAAGCTATGGAAATTCAGTGTTGTCCATCTTAGAAATAAAAGATAATTTCAGAAACATGAACAGGATAGTTCTCCCTTAAGCAACCTCACAAACAAGCCGCTTCTGTTAGATATACGTCCTGCCCTTGCAAATGAAGCTTTTAAAAAGGTGAAGAAAAACTTTAAGGTATATCCTGTTCTGTACATTAAATTAAAAAGAAAAAAACGTACATGTGGTGTTAGTAGGTGTGATTTGCAACCTGGTATACAAACGTTTGTGCAATTTAATTTCATCAAAATCTATCTGCTAATGTTTTATATTTATATTTTTGTATTTATTTTTAAAAAAAATAAACAAGTTTTTACAACTACCTTGTCTCCAGCTTCATTTTTTTCCCTAGGAAGAAAAGTTTCTCCATGGACTCACGATCTTGGTACAACATGACATTGAATGCAGGTAAGGGCCCAAAGTCATTATGGTTACTATTGAGACCTCTAGCCAAATTAACATGATTTAGGTAAGAATTCTTTTACCAGTGAGTTTTGTTATGCTCTGATTTGTGAAAAAGTTGTCATATTAAAAGTAATAGTCATGTATAGACCACTTAAAAATTTATCACAAGCCAATTTAAAACATGGCCATCTTTATGCTATCTCAAAATATCAACAATATAGTAATTTTGTTTTGTTCTATTCACTTAAATAATAACAAAGAATATTACATTTTCTTATTTTTGTATGACATTTGTGCTACTGAGGGTTATAGGTAATAATAGTTCAGACCGATTTCAGACTGAAATAATCCTTTAATGGAAAATACACTTACCTCCCATGGTGACTTTGAAAATGCATAGTAATGACAGTAATAATGCTGAATATTCCATTAAGATACAGCATTATGAATGTGTCAAGTTTTCAGAAATGTATTACATATTTATTTGTAATTAAGTCTGTTTTTCTGTCAATGAATGATTCAATAGAAAGGGAAAAAAAAAATACTGGCAGTTAATTATCTGGAGTTCCTGAGATTCACAGAGGCCAACTGCCACCAACTGATTTCTTGTTTCTCAAGCTCCAAATATGATTTATTTATAAATGGAGCACTCTGTTGGGCCTACGCTAGGAAGTCACATTCCCTGCTGAGTATATCATAAACAATACCAAAGATTTATGTGCTTTCCAATTAGTGAAAATGCTATGCTTTTGGAGTGAGAGTACAATACTGACATATCCTTAATGCAGAATTATTTATTTCAGTCTTCTTGAATGATATTTTTTCCCCCAACTTCCAGGGTGAAAAGGCACAAACTTCTCTGACTATAGACATTTTAGTTTGCATGGTAATATAATTACAAAAGAAAAACAACCCACGTGGTCTAGTTAAAATTAGTCACATTACAAGGCTGACATATCAAATCATAGTAAAACTTAACTTGTTTGACTTATTATATTCCAAGAACCCATTCATACAACCAGAAGCCTGACTGTTAAAAAGACAGAGCTTAAGGGGAATAAAAACTGAAATGAAGGGAGAGAAACGCCCTAGGATTATTCATTCAAATAAAATCAACAAAAAATGGAAAAGTTAGAAGAAGGTATATCTTATGAACATTTCACGTTAATTATGATTCAAATATAATATTCATTTGATTGAAAATTAGTTAAAAAATTTCGTGTTAGCTATTTTTATTAATATTTCATATCAGTAATTGGAATTCTTTTTTGAATATTTTTAATTATCTTCATTCAGATAATTTCAAACTGATATTAACTTGCCCTGTCACTTATTTTATCACCCACTTTTAATAAATTTAAAAATTGTGGCAGTCATCTCTAGTATCGTCAAATCAAGTTTCCAAAAATTATCCTGAAGGAGATTGATTAGCAGGTTTCTTTGGCAATAGAGGACCTATGTTGTACAGAAACCATTTTTTCAGAGTTCTGAAACAGTCCTTAATGACAGATATCCTATTATTTTTTGATAATGAAGGTGATATGTTAAATTTCTTGGAGAGCCTGAAATTAAAAAGGGTCCCTACAATGACTCTCATTGCTCAGACTCTCTCAGTAGTCTCCCTTGTATGATGCTTTCCCAAAGAATGCCCAATACGGAGATTACTCTATGTCCAATTTTTTTTATATTGGAAATGGGGAAAATGCCTCTCAGTATCGTGTAATTGATTATATCAGACAACTGTGGGTCTTTCATTTTTATTCATCCATTTATTCATTCATTAAATATTTTGAGCACCTTTTATAAAAATCAAAGGGTGTTCCTGACCCTAGAGATGTAATAATAAATTGTAGATAAGTTTTATATATGTTAATAACTCCTCTATTAGTGAAAATGAAAAAAAATAAGATTGTTATTAAAACACTCCTAATTTTTAACAAAATACTTAACTTTCACTGTTATTAATTTTTTTAAACACAGAGAAAAATTATTCTATCATCCTTTTTCATGTTTTAAATATTCAAGATAAGTGAATAAAATGATTTATAATCTTTGGTCATCAGAAATGGTGATTAAGTCAATTCTCATTGGTTTTATTTTAAAAAAAATATCAAAGAAAGTTTATGGAAAGATAAATTAATGCTCTTAGGCTGAAATTTTTCTCAATATGTCAAGTAGATACTGTCACACAAGTGCAAAAGTTCTAGAGATTTATTAGTAGACTTAAACATATAAATTATGAATAATTAACTGTTTAAAATAGTATAAAATAAAAAATTTAAAAGTCCCTAAGATTTAGGATTGAGAATTAGGAATATCTGAGTTCAGTGATAAATACATCTACCGAAGTATCTATATATATTGCCTTCATAATGCCTTCACCAGCTACAACCCCCTCTCTACTGGCCATCTGTTGCCTGAAACCCGCTGACCCTAGCCTGCAGTTCCCTTGTTCCAGGACCTTGCGCCTGGGCAGCACCCCTAGGCGGCGCTGCAGGAATACCTCGGCAAGCTCCCTGGTGGCCGCAAAAGAATCTCCCTGACTCAGATCTGCCGGAGTGAAGCTTGCTACCGAGTTCGAAATAAAGTGGACCGTTGGTCTCCTTGTATCATCTCTCCAGATGCTGGGACTCTCCCATTGCTTTGAAAGAGTGCAGTATTGGTTCAGGGAGAGGGGCTCAGCCCTTACACTTGATCCACCAAGTTATACTGCAGGTTGTAAATAGTGTAAGACAACAGCATCTATTTGCAAGGGCTGTCTTTCCCCTTTTACTCCAACGTTATGCCCAAGTTCAAGACTTTGCAATCATTCATACTGTTTCTTGTAAATCCCACATTCAAGACGTTGAATTCATTTCATTTTTAAAACATGAACAGGATCCCATCACTTCTCATCATTTCCATTACTCTGCCCAACACCCCTTTTCTCAATTACTAGGAGCAATTAACTTCCTACATGGTATCTCTGTTGTCACCTTCCCCACTTACACTCTACTGTCAGCATTGAGGTCTCTGAAATATTTTCAAAATAAATTTCCCTTTGGTTGTTCCCTGGTTCTAAACTCTACTCTTTCCTCATTTTACTGAGTCAAAGGCAAAATCCTTATAATATCCTTTTTTTTTTAAAGATTTTATTTATTTATTCGAGAGAGAGAGAATGAGAGATAGAGAGCATGAGAGGGGGGAGGGTCAGAGGGAGAAGCAGACTCCCTGCTGAGCAGGGAGCCCGATGTGGGACTCGATCCCGGGACTCCAGGATCATGACCTGAGCTGAAGGCAGTCGCTTAACCAACTGAGCCACCCAGGCGCCCCTCCTTATAATATCCTTAAAGCTTCTGCAAAGCCCTTTGATCTCTTCTCCCATTTATTCACCGTGCCACTGACTCTGCTGTTTCTCCTTGCCTTCACGAGTTTACACTGACCATTTCTCTTCACCAGCTGTGTCCCTACCTTCTGCAAATTCTTTATCAAATAAGAAAAATATCTTGGGGTGCCTGGGTGGCTCAGTCGTTAAGCGTCTGCCTTCGGCTCAGGTCATGGTCCCGGGGTCCTGGGATGGAGCCCCCATCAGGCTCCGTGCTCCACGGGAAGCCTGCTTCTCCCTCTCCCACTGCCCCTGCTTGTGTTTCCTCTCTCTGTCTCTCTCTCTCCGTCAAATAAATAAATAAAATCTTAAAAAAAAGAAAAATATCTTTATTAAATGTTATTTTTAACTTGAGGTCTTACCCTGTCCAAACTACTTGAAAGTTACAGACTGTCCTATTGCTCTTATACTGCATATGTTTTCTCCCTAACACTACTGTCTTTTAACATGTTCTATTACTTACTTGTTTACTATGATTACTTTCTGTCTCTCTCAAATAGAATCTAAAATTCATGAGAGTATGGATTTTGTGTTTTGTTCATTGTAATGCACCATAGACAGAATTAGATCTGTTTAGGTGCTCAATAAACATTTGTTGGAAGGATTAATAAATATTGTACTATTGGATTTATCGCATATTATACTTAATTTTACAGGTATGCGTATAGATAAACATATTCTTTGCATCTGAAAATTCTGCTTCCTTAGATAGTGAACTACTTAAAGTTATAGGAGGAATCTCGGTGACTTTTTTGGTTATTTACTAGAAAACTTTTCTTCCAGACTGGTTCTGTACTGGGCCATCATTTTAAAGATAAATGTTAATTGGCCAATGGTTATTTTGGCTAATTACTTTAAGAAAGCAGAGATAAATCTTAAAGGACACACAAATCTGAGAAAGTCAACATTGTTTCAAATGAAGTTACATTGCAAATGTGT